TTATTTATTTATTTATTTATTTATTTATTTGTTTATTTAATTTTAATTCCAGTGTTGTGAACGTACAGTCTTATATTCGTTTTAGGTGTACCATATAGTGATCCAGTAATTCTATACATTACTCAGTGTTCATCATGAGAAGCGTGCCCCTTAATCCCTTTCACCTATTTCATCCATTCTCCCATCCACCTTGCCTCTGGTAAGCATCATTTTGTTTTCTATAGTTAAGAGTTTATTTCTTGGCTTGTCTTTTTTTCCTCCTTTGTTTGTTTTGTTTCTTAAATTCCACATATGAGTGAAATCATATGGTATTTGTCTTTCTCTGACCGATTTATTTCACTTAGCCTCTAGCTCCATCCATGTTGAGAGTGCACCCTTTTGATCTCTGGTGGACTTGTTTGGCTCCTGGGGTAACAACACTTTACCTTTTAGCCCGAAATTCAAGCATAGCTGGCATAAGACTGTCCACAGAAATCAAAGGGTGATGCAACATTTCTAGACTTGTTTCAATGGTGAGGACCTTCACATCTGAACAACAGCACTTTGGCTATATTTGCTAGCTCTTTGAACTTACAGGTCCCATCTTCTTAAGCCAAATTTAACACACATTTCCTTCTTATTTTAAGAATTAAAAAAATCTGGGGACAGGAGTAACATCCATGTACTTTAAAAACTTTAATTTGAAATTTTTCATACATAAAGAAAATGGGAAGAAAGAGTATACTCAACACTTTTATACCCAATTGTTGTCTTACCACATACACTTCATCTATGTATTTTTTCACCAAACCATTTTAAATTGTAGACTATATGAAGTTTCACTCCAAAATATGTCAGCATATAATCCTATATCACATGGTGCCATTATCACTCCTAATTATTTCCTAATATACTGGCTATCTTCAATTGCCTCAAGTGACCCCAAAATGTTTTTATATGTTTTTTCAAGTCAGGCTGTTACCAAAGACCGTATCCTGTATCTGTTTGTTATGTCCTAATATAATAACACTGTTATTAAGCTAAAACAGTGTTCCTCCTCCCCATTTTTCTTTTGTCAATCCGGTCGTTTTTTTTTTTAATCAAATATTCTTAACACCCATAAACTTAAACTTCGGTGTAACTACAATGCTTGGGGTTGGAACTGGGGAGCACCCTTTGACAGGGTGGTTAGGAACCTTCTATGAGACACGAATTTCCTTTGTTTTCAGTTTTAATCTTGATGTGAGTTTTATGCTGTCAAAAAAAAAATAGGATCATGACATTTCACAATTTAACTCCCTATATTTATCTCTTCACTTTATACCATGTTTCTGAGGTTTCCATACCCATTTTTTCTTTTGACATTGATTCTCCCCAAATCCTCCAAATATGCTTCTTTTTCAGAGTTTGACATCTATTAGGTGGAATGTCAGGAAATCAAAGGGCATCTCGCCAGGGCTCCATGCTCAGGTTATGACAAATCAGGATTCTACACCGTGTTTTAAAGTTGGCCTATTAAAGTTATTTTGCAATACGGTTTTTGTAAATAAGAATGCTTTTGGCAATGTTCGTAATTTTAAGAAACTGTTCATAGTGTTTTTGTTTTACTACTGAACAAGGTCAAAAAGTAGTGAACCAGTAGTTCAAGATTGGTGGATAAAATCAACCTTTTTGGCAGAGTTTATAACTCTGCATGAACAGTTCCCTACAACACTTTAACGAATGCAGTTTCTCAAAACAAATATTTATAACCTAAAGGTTACAAGTAGAAGTCCTAAAAACTAGTAAGATAATTTTTTGAAGATTATAGGAAAACTCTTTCCTCCTCATAGTCAGTTACACAGAAACTCAATTTTGTAATGACAAAATAGAGAGTAACTGTAAGTTTTACTTATATTTTACGGTAACTGACAAGTATATATGCTCAGTTCTATTTTATCCAAACAAAGCCAGTTGTAAATCTTGTGGTTTGCATTCTTAAATGTGCTCACCGAAACAGCTTCCTAACACATCCCTCAATGTTTCCTGCTTAAAACAAAACAAAACAAACAAATGAACAAACAAGGTAACTTTCATATAAATTAAGACTGAACCAAAGATATTTGGGGTCTTGAGGAATTTATTTCCACATAATGGACTCTATGTCCTAGATTGAGCATCACGGAATTTCTTTCCTTTCCTTTTACCAACATGCGTAAATTATATAAGGTTCTTTTCTTCCTAAAATGGTTAAGCTGCCACTGGAAATTTCATTCAATATGTCTTGGTGAAATTGTTTTTGAAGAATACTCATTACTTCAGGCTCTCACTCGAATTTTTTATTCAAGGAAAAGTTGGTCAGCTTGACTGATACTGAGTGGAGAGGCATTCAAGGGAGAAAGCTAAGATTCCAGATGCTCATCTTTTCTGCTCAGGTGGGCAAAGCTATATACAAGCAGTCCACCTTCAGAGGGTTAGGAGGACAGGCAGCCATTTCCTTCCACACTACCCCAACTGCTTTTTGTTTCTGTGTTTATATCCACTGACTGCTGGTCGGCTTGGGCCTCGCTGGCATAGGAGAGCTTTCCCCACTGCTAGTTGGCTGTCTCTGCATTTTCCTTCTTTGGAAACCAAAAAGCATGAGAGGAAATAAGGACTAAAATTTAACTTGAAACACTGGTTATGAGAGTCTTTGTCTTAGCTATGGATAACCAGAAATCCTGGTTCCTTTTCACAAAGACCTTACTCTCTAAACAGTCCATCCTGCAAAGGGAGGTGTGTGAAATGAAAGTGGGAACTGTCCACAAGGATAGTGATGAGAGATGAGGGCCTAGAGGTGCAGATGGCCATGGAAAGCAGGTTCTGTGGACTCACAGGTAAACTGAGGGTGGTCCAGCTGAATAGATGATGGGAGGGCCAATCTTGAAGGGGTGTGTGGTGGTATTTAAAATATGTCCACCAATTCTTTGAGACTTCTCCTTTCAAGACCACCTCTTGAATCTGGGTGGTCTTGTGGCTGCCTTGACGAATAAATGTGGCCAAAGCGATACTGTGTGACTTCCAAAGCTAGGTTAGAAAAGTCGATGCAGCTTCTGATCGTTCCTCTTGGTACACTTGCATATGGAGCCTCCCCTGCTGTGCAAAATGTCCCCCTAAGGTCACCATGTGGGGAGGTCTCCCAGAGAGAAACATGGAGACATGACCAAGGAGCCCCAGCTGTTCTACTCATAGCTGTTTGAGTGACTTCAGCCCAAGTGCCAGCTACGTGTGAAAGCTTCAGGGTGACCCTTGCCCCTGCTGCCTGACCGCAGCTGCACAGAGAGCCAAGTAAGGACTGCTTAGCTGAGTCCACTCAGCCCAAGATCAGTCAGCAAAAGAAATTAATACTATTTTTAAGCCATGTTTTCAGCATTAGATAATTGAAACAAGGCACTAAAACAGAATAATGCTGATAAACTCAAGTTCTCTCAAAGATTCAGGTGAAATGCAAATAAATTCCACTCCTGCTGAAGTGGATGTTGCTCTCGTAAGAAAATTAGTTAGGAAGCACTTCTCTCTGGCATATGACCATCTCTGTTGTGTATTTGTGTGAAAAGCAATGGAGTAAATTCCACTTCTCTGTACCAGGGATGCCTTAGGGGAGGTTGGGACTACAGGGGAGGAAAAATAATTTCCTTCCACCCTTCTGAGTTCTTGGCTGAGACCCCTATAATAAACAACATAGAAAGATAGACAAATGTTGATTATTATGTATACCTCATGTATACATGGAAAATAACTAGGGGAACATGAGTAACTCCCTGAGATGGCTTAAGATTCAGGCTGAAATACCATTTTAATCAGCAAAGAGGAGGAATGTAGGCCTCTTAGGGGAAAGTAAATCATTTTTAGGAAAGACAAATGGACATTTAGAAGAATAGATGGGAGGTATGGTAGTTTGTGACAAAGTCTGTCTGGGTGTGGTGTCTAATTTTACCATTTTTTCATGGTTGTTGAAACTCCTAAGGAGGAAATTTAAAACAATTGAGTTCCTTTTGGACCATGTGTCTTTAGACTGAAAAGGGAGTTCAGAGAAAGCCTCTCCCTGCATTTGCTATTTTTCAAGTGTTTATAACTCAAAACAATCAATGTACCAAAGTAGCAGATTTGGGGTGACACGTCCCGGACTTCTACAGTCATATTTTGAGGTAGCATATTCTGGGCAAAGCTGTCTTCCTTGATAAAAAGAGATTCAGGAGGATAAAGGCTTCCTTTCCAGGCTCTGAGCACACTGGAAGGAGGTGATGACTGGGGTCAACCTGGCAACCAGCAGAGGACAGAAACCAACTTCTGATACCTCAGAGGGGAGACGACAAGCCCTGAGTTCCACCTTCGTTTTGGTACTGAACTCACCAAACTGGAACTGCTAGCTACTGGGCTTCATGTTAGATAAGAATTGTCCTTCACAGTTAAGCCTGTTAGGAAGGTATCCTATTATTTGTAGTTCAAAACATGACATATATTTGCCATGATGTGGCTTCCAAGGAACGAGTGATTTAAAAAAAATTTTTTTTTTTTAATGCTTATTTATTTTTGAGAGAGAAAGAGTGTGAGCAAAGGAGGGGCAGAGAGAGGGAGACAGAGAATCCAAAGCAGGCTCCAGGCTCTGAGCCTTCAGCACAGAGCCCGATGCAGGGATCAAACTCACGAACGGTGAGATCATGACCTGAGGTGAAGTCAGACACTTAACTGACTGAGCCACCCAGACGCCCCGTGAATGAGTGATTTTTTTTTTTAAAAAGTTCTAAATTTTAAATCCTTTAGTGTATCTTCCAAGAAGCTTCCTGGTTTCAAAAGTCACAAAGGTAAGCTGAACAGAGGACTCACACTTAGTAAAAACAGGGAGTATTTTGCTGTTTTTTTTTTTTTTTTTTTTTTTTTTTTTTTTTTTTTTTTTTTTTTTTTTTTTTTTTTATCCTTCTCAGGATACTAATCCTACCTTAGCAAGTAGAAGTAAATTAAGAAATGAATCTGTGTTTGTTCCTTCAGTTTCTGCAAATGTCCTTGTGTAGGAAATGATTTGGAATCCCAAAGTAAAATATGAAATGCCATGTAAGATAGACACATTTTAGGATTTTGTAATCGAAGGCTGTCAAGGGTTGAAATAAGGTCCTTTCCTGTCTGATTTTAACATTTTAGGATGGCCAGATGTTACAGGCTGAATTACATCTTCCCCAAATGCATATGTTGAAACCCTCCTAGTATCTCCCAATGTGACCTTATTTTGGAAGTAGTGCCTTCAAGAGGTATTAAGTTAGAGTGGGATCATTAGGCTGGGCCCTAACTCAATACGCCTGGTGTCCTTATAAGAGGAGGAGATCATTTTGAAGGAGGCAAACCACAAGAGACTCTTAAATACAGAGAACAAACTGAGGGTTGCTGGCGGGGTGTTGGGTGGGGGGGGATGGGCTAAATGGGTGATGGGCATTAAGCAGGGCACTTGTTGGGATGAGCACAGGGTGTTATGTGTAAGTGATGAATCACTAAATTCTACTCCTGAAATCATTATTACACTATATGTTAACTAACTTGGATTTAAATTAAAAAAAAAAAAAAAGAGAGAGATTAGGAGGCAGAGGGAGAAGCCACACCCTGTACTTCTGAGAACAGAAACACCCAGGGAGAAGGCAGCTGTCTGCAGCCAAGGAGAAAGGCCTCAGGGGAAATCAAGCCTGTCGATACTTTGATCTTGGACTTCCAGCCTCTAGGACAATGAAAAAATAAATTTCTGTTATTTAAGCCTCCCAGCCTGTGGTATTTTGTTATGGAAGCCCTAGCAAACGAATGCAGCAGATCTGTGCCATTTGACTTATGGTGACATAGGGTACAGTTTTTTGTTCCTTCCTTTCATTGCTCGTAAAGAAAGGGGTGAAAAAACCGCAAATTAAGAGACGTTTGCAAGTAAGTTAAAATACAAAGTTATACCCGGTGCCACTTCTTTGGAAAGGGCATACAATTTTTATTAACAGGTAATCAGTTTCATCCTACCTGCACTGTATGTTGAATAAATGGGTACAGAATGGTTTAAAGGTGGCATTAAATGACCAGGCTGCCAAATTTGCTCACAGGTCTCAATCCAACCTCAGAAAGAATGAGGGACTTGGAGCCACTTCTTGTGATGATGAGGTGTTTGTGAATTAGAAGACAGGGGATAAAATTTGACTTCTTGATTTTAGACTGTGGATAGCTATGAGACGAAGATGTTAGAAACATTGTTCATAATTTGGACTTATTAGTGGATAAGGAAACACTTGAAAGATTTTATTTTTGATCAGAGTTCCCAAGAGATGAATTAGTCTCCTAAAGAGTATGATCCAAGATCTGTTGGATTGACTCCTTTTCATAAAGTTGTTTGGAAGCAAATTTGTTTCCTTTGTATAATAATTCATGTGATTCGTCTTTTGGGCTAATTATAAATTCAGTTCTCAAAACAGTTTGTCCCTAAGTAAACTGCAATGTTGTTTTCTACTTAATTTTCTAAAACAAGAAAATCTAATGGAAATGTCCTCTCTCGTATTTATTTATTATTACACTGCAGTTAACGAAAACAAGTAATTATTACTCTTTTTCCCCCATGTCATTTTGATGCTATGGAAATTACCCAGGATGCTTTCTAATAAAATAAAAATAATAGGTCAACAATCTTATCTGAGTTTTCTCAGGTCTGTCTTGCAAAATTAGCCATCAGGAAATATCTTATCTATCAAAATATAACATTAGTATATATGACAAAATGGTATTTCTTGGACTGTGGTTCACAGCAAAAGATACACAGAAAGCTGAAAATTTTTAGTATTTTCTTGCCAAGTTTTCAGTGACGTTCTTAGAAATAAGAGCCTGAATTATAAAAAGAAAGCAATATGCAAATTTGACAAAGACTATCAATGGCTACGAAACAAAAACTGGAAAAGGCAACTGTAATTTTTGTTCAATTTTGTTACCAAGAATATAGTTAGCTCATTAGAAAATGTGCCTGTGTATAATAAGCTAATAATCAATAATTAAAAATAAGCATATATATGTGGAACCTCTTATTTGGGAGGTTTTGGTACTATCATCTACAGAACAGAAATTCTGATCTTCACAAATGAGGAAAGAATTCACATAAAAAGTTGCAGTTAATAGAGGTAGAAACAACTAGGCATATTTGACAAGCCACCAGTCATGGAAACTTTAAGTCCCAAAGAGATGGAATTGAATGCAATAAAAAGTATTTTTAAATGGAGACACAATTCTGCAAAAGACTTTTTTTTCTCATTTTATAAATACATTATTAAGTGCTATTTGCTTTTGTATAGCACTAATCTACCAAATTCATCGCCTTATTTTTAGTGAGGCACCAAGACTGTAAATGAGCACCCTTACTTGGGTAAGGGGTGGGAGACGGTGGCAGAGATTGGACTGGACTATCTCTTTTGTAACTATAAGATTCTTTGGCTTCAGGACACAGAGACAATCACCATAACAGCCAGTATTTATCTAGCACTTACTCTACGTTAGGCACTGTCCTTAGTGCTTTGTAAAGGAACCTGTGAGGCTCCAGGGTCATGAATGGAATGAATACAGAATGAAAAAACAAACAGCTCCAAATCAAAGGAAAATTTTGGCAGTGAAGTTCTAGAGTTTGTATTTTAACAAGAAACTGCATTATCTCTATGGTCCCAGTATTCTGAGGGATAAGGGAAATCTCCTCTTTGATTCAGAGATTCCTGCTTATCCTACACTACCCATTCTTCCTTTTCTAGCAGCTGGCATGTGACTGCTTGGAATAAAGACTGTGTTCTTTCCTACCTTCCAGTTAGGTGAGGCCATGCAACTAAGTTTTGGCCAGGAGAACAGAAATAGAAGTATTGTGGGATAACATGCAGGAACCTGCTTTATGAGACTAGGTATATGCTTTAGGGATCATCAGATTGTACTGTTTTTGTTGTGTCTTTGGGAAGGGACTTTTGTACTATGAAGTTAATACATCAGGTAAACGATTTTATATGTCTCACAATGATACAGCACGACAACTAGCCATATTTTTGTGTGCTTACCTTTTTTTTAAAGATGAAAATGTGGGGTGCCTGGGTACCCCAGCTGGTTAAGTGACCAACTCTTGGTTTTGGCTCAGGTTCATGGGTTTGAGCCCCACATCGGGCTCTGCACTGACAGCACACAGCCAGCTTGGGATTCTCTTTCTCCCTCTCTCTCTCTCTCCGCTCTTTCCCACTTCTGTCTCTCACTCACTCTCTCTCTCTCAAAAATAAATAAATAAACATTAAAAAAAATAAAGGTGAAAATGTAGGGAGAAGAAAGTTGAAGCCAAACTATTATATTAGTGAATTGAAGTAGATAGGGCATACAGGAGGCAAGTAGTAAATATTAGAAATGGAACAGATCAATAAAGTCTGTGTTGATTCTTGAGCCAATGAAGAATTAATAGGCCACTATGCTAAAGCAAGGAGTGCTCGTTCTTAACATGTAGCAGTCTTGTTTATCTTATGAACTTGGTTTTCTGGATTCTCAAGATCATCTACCATTTCCTGGGGAAATAACAGTTCACATTTTAATATGTCTCACTGCCATGGAATTTACTTTCTGACAAGTCTAATTTTTCTCCTATTCATTCATTGCCTTATTCCTTTTGGCAACTTTCAAGACTAGAGCTGATCCATGAGAACTTTCTCTCTCTCTCTTTCCCTCTATTTTTGTACTTTATACTTCCTTAGTTAAGGATGTCCTTCTGTTATCTGGCTCACTAACCCCTACAGCAGCTTGACTCAAACTCAAGCATCATCTCTCTTTAGGGAGTCCATCATTTCTAGAAACCTGGTCTAGGTACCCCAAGGTGTGCTCCAGCCCTGCTGTGTGTATCTCTACTAATGCACTTATCACTCAGTGTTGTGGTTTTGCTTGCTCCTGTCTCTTCTCCACTGGACTATAAGCTCCTTAAAGTCACAGACTGTCTTTCATCTCTATATTCTTAGATCCCAGCAAAGTGCCTGTCTTATAGCAAATATGCAATAAGTTCTTCCTTAAACATTGTTTTCTCACATCTGAGATTCAAAATATCTCAAATATATTTTTCTTTAATAAACTTTTTAGGGGTGCCTTAGTGGCTCAGTCGGTTGGGCGGCCGACTTTGGCTCAGGTCA